GCTATCGCTTATTCTACTGAGCCATCTCCCCGGCCCCCTTGGTTTTTTGTCTGTTTTTTTGTTTTTGCGGAGCTGGGGATTGAACTCAGGCCCTTGAGCTTGCCAGGCAAGTACTTATTCAACTGAGCTATCTCCCCAGCTGCCCCTTGTTATTTTTAAGAGCTCTTTTTGTGTTTTCCAGCTGTAGTGCTGTCTTCAAGGTTTGATTCTATCTTGAGGGTTTTTTGTTTTTTTTTTTAATGTATGTAGTACAGGTTGTACAGGGTCTCACTATTCGTAGTGATTCTCCTCTATCTTCAACCTTCCAAGCGCTGGATTATAGGCACACGTGACCATGCCTAGTCTCAATCACCCCCAGCTGCGGCGCTGTGCCTAAGCAAGCACTGTAGTCCACTGAGCTATTGTCTGGCCCTTCTCTCTTGAGTTTTGTTTGAGTTGTTTTGCCAGCTTTCAGTGGAATTCTTATTTTCCTGGATATCTTTTTTAATGTTTCATGCATACTAGTTCTGGTTTTTTGTTTTGTTTTGTTTTGTTTTTTTTTTTTTTTTTTTTTTTTTTTTTTTTTTTGGAAACCCCCAAATTAACCCCGGCCCTTTTTTTTTTTTTTTTTTTTTTTTTTTTTTTTTTTTTTTTTTTTTTTTTGCAGAACTGGGGATTGAACTCAGGCACTTGCACTTGCCAGGCAGTTGCTTATGCTACTGAGCCATCTCCCCAGCCCTAACTAGTTTTTTTTTATATTGCTTATTCTGTGTTTCTATCATTTTCCTGTTCTCTATATTTTAATTTGTGTCTTCTTTAGATGTGTTGAGCAAATCTTTCATGATTATTGTCTTTTTATTTTTTTTAACCTGGGAAGTGATTTCTGTTTTGATTTATAGACTGATGCAGTTGCTCCTTTACCTCAGTTGCTATGATTTATTTTTTATTTTTTTTCGGACAGGGTCTACAGAGTCTCACTGTATTGATGGGACTTAGTGGTCCTCGTGTTTACAACCTCCCAAGTGCTAAGATTCCAGGTGCGCCACCACACCCAGTCTCAATTGGTGTCTCAGCGCGCCCTTGGGCAGGGCCAGCACTGCCTGCCAGAGATGGAACCCCAGCCACTGCGCCTGCCTAACTAAGCAGGCTCTGTAGTCTGCTGAGCTATTTGGCTGGCCCCCCAGTTGCTGTGATTTGAGCAGTGTCGCTGGTGTGACTGAGGGTCCTCTGTCACCTTGTCTCCTGGATTTGCTTGGGGCCAGCTGGAAGACTCACATTACCTTTGCTGCTGCACTTTGACATTGTGTGAGCTTCCAGTGTCCACCTGGACTTAGCAGGGATAGTGGTCTGGTGGAGGCAGGTCAAGTGGCTCCTGAGACAGTAGGAGGCCAGGTCGGGCTCACTGAGGCTGCTGCAACCAGCAGGAGAGGCTGCCACAGCTCAGCCAAACACTGGGGACAGTGGGGTGAGGGGTCAGGGCAGGAGTCCCAGGACGCCATAGGTGACCTGTATCCACCTGCCTTCTGGAATGGTGGGCAAAACATCCACAAGCTCAGCTACAGCCTGGCACAGGTGGTCAGTAACACACACTCTCACTCTCTCTCTCTCTCTGGGTTTGTTTTTTTTGGGGGGGCTGCTCAGTCTGCCTTAAGAGTGGGTCTGGTGCGGCATGTGGAGCTGGGGATGGAACAGTGGTCCCCTGTACCTGACTGAGTTTGTCCAAGCAGGCACTTTAAACAACTGAGCTAACTGGCAAAGCGCCAGTAACTGTACTTTCCAAGAGCCCTACGTTTGTGTAGTTGCAGTGAAATACGCTTATTCAATTGACTTAACCTGCAGAAGACAGACAGCGAGTGTATTGGTCAGCGACAGACCTCCAGCAAGGAGCTGTCACTGACCTGCCACAGCAGGAGGGACACCTATTGGTTGCGTTAGTTTCAGGTGTAAGTGGGGTGGTTGTGTTTTCCTGGGGCAGCTGCAGAAACTTCCACACACACGGGCTCAGCTTGTGACAAAGGCACAAAGGTGTTCTTATTTTGTGTTACAACTGGGCTGCAGCATGTTGTCAACTATGACACCGGCTTCTGATAAAGTTTGGGATGGTGTCACATTAGGTAACTATGACGCTCTTGCAAGAAACCAACTGAAGGTAGCAGGAACTTGGGCTTAGGCTGTCCCAGAGTACACAATGGCATAGATCTTGTTCACATTTTTATAAAATGCACAGCTAGGGTCCAGGGAGATAGCTCAGTAGAATAAGTGCTTGCCTGGCAAACTCAGGGTCCTGAGTTCAATGCCTGGTACTGCCCAAAAAAAAAAAAAAAAAAAAAAAAAACCACAGGTGTTTGCTTTACAGTGGTAGAAAACTTGAGACCAAAATTTACTTGGCTGCTGACCTGCTATAAAACTGCAGCAGAGGGCTCTCCAGATCCCAGAGTGCAGGCTGCCTGGCAACCTTGAGCTCACTGAGCATCCGGCCAGGCTACATCAGGAGGCCAATTCCCACAAATGGCATGCTGACACTGCTTCAGGGTATAATACAGAGACCTCAGCTTTCTTCCTTTCCGCCGTCTGCCTGAGCTCCCTGTGCAGAAGGAAATTTCGCCCCGCCAAGAAAGCACGGAATTTACTTTCTTTTGTCCAGTGTGGGACCCCAGACCGTTCCTGGCCAGCACCATGGGAGGATAAGGCTTCTACTGAACATGACTTTCTCCAAGTGCTGTGCGCTAAACTGAAACTGAGCAGCATTGTGGCCTGGAGCATCTGCATGGATGCGCACAAGATGGTGGCAGTGGAGGGAAGGGAAGGGCTGTAGTGGCTGAAATGATGGCTTTGTGCTTGCAATGTTTCCAGATATTTATTTAAAATTGAAATGTTGATTGACATGGACTCCGTACACAACACGCACTGAAGCAGAGGTAAATCCCCAGGCTGAAGGTTTACAGGCACACGAAAGAGTAGAAAGAAAAGCATTTTTTAATAGAGAGGAGGAAAGGGGAGGAAGAAAGAAATAAGCAACCGGGGAATGCAAGAGTGAGGTAGAATTGTTGTAGGCAGTGAGTTAGATATAAATATTATAGGCAGCCAGACAGAGTCAGGCCCTCGAAGGAGATAACCAAGACCAGATGCCCTATAACTGTGGGAGGGACGGATGCTCCTGCTGTAAACCAGACCTACAGACGAAGCAAATGCTAACCTCCCTATAGACCGGCATCCAGGATTGATCATCACTCAGGAAGAATCACTGTCTGAAGGCCACCAGATAAGGTCCTGTTTTACAGTCATGCCTGCTTGCTACATGACTTGCTTCTCCATTTGGTCCTGGGCCTAATCAACTTTACCTGAGCAATGGTACTTGTAATCCCATTGGGTGACCATAGTTTTGTCCCACCCTGCATCTGCCTGAGTTCCCGTTCTCTCCACCTCAGTGATGCATGATTTTACACTATAAAAGTCCCTGGAAGAGACAGCTTCCCGGAGAACTACCAGCTGGGGGCCCCCTCCTGTCCCTCTCTCAGATAGGCGCTTTCTTTCCCTCAATGAATATTCTGCTCATAACCTCTGTTTGTTCCTAAAATTCATTCTTAGGTTTTAGAGAATATGAACTTGTCCAGGGTAGGTGGTGGGCTGGGGAGATAGCTCAATGGAATAAGTGCTTCCCTAGCAAGTGCAAGGGCCTGAGTTCAATCCCCGGTTCCACAAAAAAAAAAAAAAAAAAAAAGCCCCAATGACCAGTGGTCATGCAAAGCTTGGACTTCCTCATGCTGATCTCCCCCACGCCTGCTGTGTTTTTCCCTTCACAATGTGTGTGCCCCTCCTGTTCGTACCCGCCACTGAGGACGACTGCGCACGCTGAGGGTAGACCTTATCTTGAGCGCTGGGCACTAACCAGGTTCGGTCCCCAGCACCACGTGCCTCGCTGGCCCCAGAACCCTGGGTGCGCCATGCTGGCCTGTGAGGCTGGGCCTGGTAGTGCACAGGAATAACCCAAGTACAAGGATGCTGCGACAGGAGGATCCCTACAAGCCCAAGCTGCGCAGCAAGATCCCATACCAAATAATACACAGAAAATAAAAATGGAATGCTGTCCTACTTGCAGGTGTGGTTGGTCAAGGCTTTTTTCTTGTGGTGTTCCTTCCATTGTCAGTGCCTGTTAAGTTTCCAGCATCCTGGTGGTCAGTACATTTCCTAAATATTTTCACAGACCCACCCCCCACATCCGTCCCTGATGCCACCTGGTAGGTCCCCCTGCCGTGGGCTTCCTCATCCCCCCTCATGGTTCTTGCACAGTCTCCAATAGCAAGTGCAGCTGTTTCCACCCACTTTCCAGATCTCCATTCATAACTTTTACTTAGGTTTCCAGAAAGCCCCTGTCCCCCCCCCCCAAAAAAAACAAAAACAAAAAAAAGGGGCCGGGGAGATGGCTCAGTGGAATATGTGCTTCCCTGGCAGGTGCAAGGGCCTGAGTTCAATCCCCCATTCCACC